CAAGAAATTTTGTGCTCACCATATTGCGCCGTCCCTGCGTTTGGCCACAAAATACAAGTTAAGCAGAAAGTAGGTACATTGTAAAGATAACTACTTTGGGTAGTTTAAATACCTACGTAGCTATTAATAGCTACGTAGCTAGAACAAGTCTTTGGGCTGTACCTGATGATTGCTAGAAATTTTTACTAACTGCAATAATTAAAGAAAAACGATGTCTATAACTCTAATGCATTGTTTGGCACCACTACAAAATTGTCATCATCAGTATGCACATGTTTTGTCTTTTCATTACTTTTCCTATGTGACGCCATACATTTACCAGCGATTTAAGTGCAAAGTAACAAAAATACACATCTGACCAATTTTCAAAATTTTCCGCCATATAGTCCAAATATTTTCGCATATTATGTTCTTATGCGTTTCTTTTCTCTTTCAGTATATAATAAAAATCTGATTTCAACTTATTGTTATTGAAGTTATTAAAACTTCGAATTTCTGGTCGGGTTTGATTGTCACATCCTTGCACTTTCGAATATTATAAAGTGGCAATTTTGTTGTGTATTAATATAAAATAGAAAGTAGAAATGTTCAAAAGTAGAACCCCTCACTAGTATCGTCAGTCCGCGCTCAGTGTCCTGTACAGAGTTTACCAAATTGAACACACCAGTGAAACATAACTGGTTTTGTAAAAAGGGCACGAGTTCTGTTATTGTTAATGTTTACGATTCACCGGATGTGTTCAATTGTTAAAGTCTGCACACCCCACTGAGCACGGACAGACAATATACTGTGAGCGCGTTTTCCTTTCAAACATTTTACTCTAATTTTTTAGAATATAGTTTAATATTTTTCAATAATACACATTAAATCTGTCGCTTTTCTTAAGTAATAATAATGAAATCAAAATTTGTGAAAGTACCTGGACGTGTCAATCAAAGCCGAGCAGAAATATAATATTTCAATAACTTCTGGATGGAATATAATATCTTTATTATATTTTCGAGTTAAATTATCCTTCCATATATCGTAATATTATGCATAAAATTTGAGAAATATTAACTATAAATCTCTCTCTATGCACCATTAGAGCCTTTATAATAAATAAACTTTGAAAAATTGTTATAAAAGTACATAAAAAATGTATGATTTTTAATCTCTATCAAAGATTAAGAAAACCACGTAATGTCAAAAATCAAAGAAACGCAACCGTTGATGAGTCTACAAGGGAAGGTATATTGAAAAAAGAAATATTCTTAGTAACAACGTTTTAAAAAGAAACTTAAATAGTCACAATAAAAATGTAAAACTCAGTTTGCAAGCTCAAGATATAAAATTTAAGAGTTGTCATCAATCCTTCATTACTATAGCATAAAAAACACCATATCTTAAATTAAATGTTATATATTTTCTTTTGGAAAAAGATGTTCAACAAATAGAGACATCTGTGGTTGATACATCTCATCAGGGGATACAAAATGAAGTAAATGAAAACGTTTATGCTGATGTAAGATCCTCCAAAATGATTGAGTTTCATGGTGATAGTTTTTCATCAAATCGTTTGCACATACATGTATACTCTGAGAATGATGAAACTGATGCTTTCCTCAATAATAAAAAAGCTAAAAGGAACTACTTTGAAAATGGCAAGGATGCAAATTTTAAAGAAAGACATACATCAAACATGAAATTGCGGGAAAATGTGTATGGAAACTTGGACGAAAACAGTCAATACAGTGTTTTGTCCTTACGAAGAAATATTAACCCTTCTGAGATGGAAAACTATTTTATAAAGCAATCAATCTGTCGTGATACATCTCAAAACGAAGGAGCTTCTTATTGCATAATGCATGCATTTGAAACAGATATTCAACAGAATGAGGATGCATGTAAATCAGATTCAGATGTTAGTTTGATCTCGGAACCATATAGCATTGCCATACGAAAGTATGATAAGGCTTAGTTTCTGAAGGAGATCGGGGTAGAGAAAAAATCAAATGGAACAGAACAAAATATAGTGGGTTATGAACGGTTTACACATCTGATCCTACATCTTGAATTTATGATTGTCCATGTACGCCCATATGAGACGTTTTTTTCAGATTTGCAAACAAAGCTTTAAACTGTAAAGTATTTTTTGCACTGACTTGCCTTTTGTCGTTATTAGCTTTTTGTCGATAGTTTTATTGGATTCTTTCAAAAGCTACTGTTTATTTCTAAAATTAGGTAGTATCCTCCCTCCCGGATTTACTCCAGTTAATAACATATTTGTTCTATGTTAACTTTGGATTTTTCTTTCAAAGTACGTTTTCATGTGAACAAGAAAATAAATTCATGAAAGAAAAGGAAAAAAATTACTTGTGGTGGCCTTCATCTCAATACTTAGATATATCAACGACGTATGGTCCATTAACAATGAACATGTTTTTTTATTCTTATATTGACACAATGTATCCTGGTTAGCTTGAAATAAAAGTGACCACAGAGCCTGACACAACTGTTTCAAATTAATATATTTTATTTGAAAAGGCCGTTAATAGTTTTTGAACAACCAAGCTTCATGACAAACGAAATGACTTTAACTTATGAATTGTCAACTTTCCTTACTTATGCAGTAATATACTTTCATCAGCTGCATACGGGATTCATATATACTCTCAGTTGATTTGATCTGCAGGATAATGATCTTTGTATGAACAGTGTTTTAAACAACGTACGTTATTGACAAATTAAAAAACATAAGAATGTCAATTAACAGTCTCGTTTTTAGCCATCGTTTTGTAAGTTCTATGATCGATACAATGACCATGTCAGCACATACAATTTATCATCAAGTTAAACACTGACTGACGTTTTTGATACTTTTTAATAATCTGTTATTTACACACTGAATTGTCAACGGGTTATTCCGTTATTACCACATGGTGGGTGTGACTGGTCGGTAGGGGATGTCCAATTTTCTATGACACCAGATCCCACCTTTGATGTTTAGGATGTCTGTTTTAGCTCTGCTTTCATTCTGTATTCTTAAATTGATTTTTTGATCTTGAATACTGTTCGTTATCTCCATATATTCCTTCGATTCCAGGGGGTATGTGAATGGAAGTAACTTTCTTTAAATTAAGAATGCATCTTCAAATGTCAGTTTAAAGGTCACAATAAATGTATTTCTTCTTCTGATGTAGAAGGTTTTGATTAAACTCTGCTACATATATAGAAATACGTTTGTTATCAATGGGACTAATTTCTGGACGTACAACATGATTTGCATTTGTCAATCAGACACTCAAACATTTTTAAATCGTCTTCAGAGTACTTGCAAGTGAAATCAGAATGTTATTTATTAAGGCAACTTCAACTAAATCAATTAGAGCTACACAAGGTATGAATACTCATGAGCTCCATTCTTTGTAAAAGCAGTCGTCTCTGATGTCAAAAGGTGTGTGCATAGTATAATCTTACCTTACTGAGTTGATTAAAAATAAGAAGTTATTGTTAATAATTAATAATACGTCGTCAATATATTAATCAGTCGAGTTAAAGACTACTGTAAGCCTTAACATTTTATCTTATGTTTTAACATGTTATAGATTAAATGTGAATTTACAATTTGCAAATATAAAATTCTCCCTTTCTAAGGAGCAAATACTTCAAAGCATGGGCTGGATGAAGGATATGGAGATAACGAACAGTATTCAATTTCAAAGTCCATAAAACAATACAAAATAGGAGCAGAGCAAACACGGACCTCCGAAACATTAGAGGTGGGATCAGATGTCATATATCATATGTCATTTGTGAATATTTTTAAGTATTCGAAACAAGCTAGTTAAATTTAAGTAACCGTATCGGTATTAGATACAAAAACTTCATAATAATACTTATAAACAAAGATACAAGCAGATTCCGGTAAATGTGCTACTAATTACTCTCTTTCTTTATTCCTCACAAAGATATCAACAGTAGTGAAGGAGAATATTTAAGAGTACTGTTAAATAATATGCTCAAGAAGTGATGCAAATCATATGTGGATAATAAAAAAAATCCAAGAAACCTTCAGATCACTTGAAATCACAAAAGTTTATCAAAATCAACAAAATAAAAAATTCCCACTTACCAACTTCATATAAAATATTTCCCAGGAGAAATAAAAGTCCAGGCTCCCTGACTTTATTGACAGATGCTTTTTTTCAAAAAAGGAAACTCGTAAATCAAACAAAAAAAACAAACATAGAAATTAAGCATTTTGATTGCTTCTGTTGTCTTTGATAGGATTCGAGTCAAGGATGAAATGTAAACAGAGATGTTTACTCCTCCAAGCCCTGGATTTCTCAGCGGTCCGCGTTTAATGTACATACATATTTGTAAAGTTTATTGTTTTTGGTCGATCAGTTGTTCATAACATTATTCAGCATCTGTTTCATAAAAATGTTTTTTTTAACAGCAGATATACTTGAAGTATATTTCTCCCCTTGATTGATATTGTATTTGTGAATATTCAATATAAGACATGACATATGCGGAGATAACAAACAGTATTCCAATACAAAAATCACCTAAACATTACAAAATAGGTGTGGAGGAAACAAGGGCCTCCAAAACACATTATTTTGTTCTTCAATTACATTCTAATTCTTTAATAGTGTCTCTTTAATACCCAACAAATACTACTTCAGTACCAATTGGAAGGTCATCTCTATAAAAGGTACGAGAGGTAATTGAAATTTTCAGAGAAAATATACGATTCGTAGAACCACATAACTATTGTATGCACCTGCTTTCCATTTGGTTTTCATAACAAAGGTTTGCTACACCAATCCGTACCAGTGGTTTTGATATTATAATTTTTGAAGACCATTGAGAACAACTACATAATTTTGATGAATATTTCTCTAAAACTTCCTTCGGTGTTTTGGGCGTAATGGAACTATTGTCGTTTCATATCAATGAAAACAATGTTGTACAGGGAAGCTAGAATAAAACTGATGTAACAATACCTCAGATTTGATTTTGTTATGATATTTCGTCAGGAATATGCAGAATTTAGCAATTTTCAATACCTTTATACTATTAACAACAAATCACATTGTTGAATGTTGTAGAAACAGGTATGAGAATTATCTTTAATATTTGATGAAGAAAAAATTGAAAGTTTAATTTTGCTCTCTGTTGGGTCAATAAAACTTTAAATATTGTTTTTAATCACAGTAAAAATGGAAAATGTTGTTTCAATCACTACGAGAATATGAATGGTCGGTGTTTGGGTGAGTATATTAATGACTGTGAATATTATTTAGCCATTTATATACATCACTGAGATGTCATGGGTCTACTAATATAGGATTATTTTTGGAATAGAATGTCCTATAGGCACAATTGGCACAAACTGCAGTGGAACATGTCCTTCAGGATACTTTGGAAAGCTTTGCAAAGACAAATGTAATTGTGCGGATATATACTGTAATAATATCAAAGGATGTCTGATACACACAGGTATGTGGTCCACATTCGAAACCATCGCATTAATAGTTCCTCTATTTCGTAAAGTGGTAAAGGTTGTTTAAACGGTCATTGATTTTACACTTTTGTACAAGCATTTTTAACCAAATAAATCAAGCAAAAACGGTTTTACAATTATACTCAAAAGAATTTTAGACTACGTTCGCGCAGTAAAAATTTCTAATTAAATAGAATGTAGAAGGGTACATGTTATTGTATAAATTAAGTTTGAAAATTATTTCAAAATCAACAGACTTATTCGTTCTTCAAATCTTAAATATTTTAGTTTCTTATGTTCGTTTAGAATGAGTTTACACTTCTAATTAAAAGTTCCTAATAACGTTTATGTCATCATAAATATTTTCTATGTAATTTAAAGACCATACAACATCATCGACAGAGACGAAATTAATAACGAATGAATCTCAAACAAAATCAAAGGAGAAAATGACTTGGAACAACCTAACATTTACCTTTATTGGGTGTATCGGTACACTGGCCATAGTTGGAGTGACGTGTTACATCAAATCCTGGTAAACAAATATGGCAACATGTGAAAAATATGTAATCAATTAATGAAAGCTATTTCAATCCAAATCAAACTATCAATAATAAAGGAATGTATCAGATTCTATTCCATTTTAGGTTCATTGAAATGAAATTCCGAACTAGACGTATTCAGTTTGAACCATCAGGTATTGACAACAAAATAACGAGAATAAACATTAAATTAATTTTTTGGCAATTTCATCATTGATAAAAATTAAATATTCTATGATTTTCCTCAAAGTATTTTACCACACTGGAAATGCTAATATTACAACTATCCAAAACATGGAAAACATGTTGAATGAGGGGCAAGAGGAAGGTCTGATAGCTACAGGTTGCCGGGTTCTGGCAGAACGAAACAAAGCGATGTGTGACGATGCCTATTTAGATCCTCAAACCAGAAACATTTACAATGACCTCAACCCGAACAATGTACACAAAGCAGAGCAAAATGGAGTCATTTCTAGAAGTAAATTATATGAAAATATTGTAATAAGATACAGTAAATTAATATTTGCTTAAGGAGGATCCATATGAAAAAGTACTATTAGAATTCAATCGGAGTATTCAGTTGACTACTATTTGACGTTCAACTGACCGTCAATTGACCATTAGTTGAATTTTTGCCATGCAAATGAGGGAGCGATCAACTCATTTGCATAGAGTGCACCACTGTTGAATGCTCCTCTATTTCCTTCGCAGTTGACCGCTAGTTGAATACTCCTCTATTTCCTTTGCAGTTGACCGCTAGTTGAATACTCCTCTATTTCTTTTACAGTTGACCGCTAGTTGAATACTCCACTATTTCCTTTGCAGTTGACCGCTAGTTGAATACTCCTCTATTTCTTTTGCAGTTGACCGCTAGTTGAATACTCCACTATTTCCTTTGCAGTTGACCGCTAGTTGAATACTCTATTAGTGTACGTAGGTTGCATTCATTAAATATTTGAAAAAAGGAGGGATATTTGAAATCTAAGACAAGCAATGTTCTTGAAAATATGAAAAGTCAAAACAATGGAATTTCTAAATTGTACTTGTAAATCTAAATGCATTATAAATGAATTGAGCTGGTACACTCTCATAAGTTGTTACATGCCTTCTTCATTTTCTGTGCAGAAAAGGTTATTTATAGAATTAGTCTAAAGCAATGGTATATTTTACCAACACAACAAGAAACACAACAAAACACTTGATGCATTACAAGTTTTCAGAATTCTTTCAATATTTAAAAAAGTACACAAAAATAGGGACCTACGAGTACTGGCTACAGTTTTTTGTATTCCTATTATGTGTTTAAAAATAGCAAGCTTACTAAAACAAATCTTTAAATTTTATATACTTACAATAGTACATGAGATATTTCACACGCTGAAACATCACGAAAACAATAATGTTTAAAATAAAAATTCCCACCTTCTACAAAAAGCACACATGTACTGATTCAAATCTTGGTTGTTATAATTATGGTATAACAAACCCGATCCATGATACTAGTAATGTAATATTGAACCCAACATAAATGTAGCGTGGGAGAATTTTTTTTAACAAGTTGGAGTGTTCAACTAGTGGTCAACTCTTGTTTCCGATGAAATTTCAAAGTATTAGCATTCAACTAATGGTCAACTGGCCGTTTTATGCAAATCAGTTGATCGCTTTTCAGAAAAGCATTCAACTCCGAGTGGTCAACTGTTTTCGAATTATCAGTTGACGGCTAGTTGACGGCTAGTTGACGACTAGTTGACGGTCAACTACACATTTTCGTATGGGATATATCGATCGAGGCTTTCCAGGCCAAAATCAAAGCAATGTATCTGTTTATCTGTTTATTTATAACCAACAAAAACGCAATTTAAGGTTCAAAGCTCAAGGAGATCGTGGGACATAGGGTTAGAGATCTTCAAAGTGGCGGGGCTGAAAATATCTACTGCAGAATAATATTAGGAGATGAACAGCCACAGCGTGATGATTTAGACGAAGATGATGAAAATGACAATGATGAAAATGAAGGTCCCCGGTATGAACAACCCTGGTCACAGATGAGGAACTATGACGGGTAAGGGTGTTATCAAACGCGATCTCATACAAAACCAAATCATTGATTCTTTAGAATATTGTTGTACAAAATGACACTGATAAAAAATATTTCTACTCAGAAACATGAAAAGTCATAAAATCGTCCGAAAAGACGAGGAAGGCCATGAGAAGAACATATATGAAAGCTGCAAATGCAGTGTTAGAGGTACTGTATAAAATAGTTATTTAGAAAATAAATATCTTAAATTCATTCCAGTATTGTATAATTATATTGCTGATGTAACGTTTTAAATTCCGTTTTAGAAAACGAATATTCTGTTGAAAAATCAGCTTCTCCTTATTCTGTATACGAAAGAGAGTTTATCCAAGGCACGACTGACCACTCTGATAACTACACTTGTATTAACAGGACCAGTGATGAGACCTACACGTGCATGAACAAGACCAGTGAAGAGAACTACACGTGTATTAACAAGACCCGTGAAAAGAACAATATAAAAGGTGGCAGCAGTGAACAAGAAGAACAAAAAGACAGATCGGCGTAAAATTTTGAGTTCCATAGGAGTACAGAATTTACAGAATAAGCTGTTGCTATGTTCGTTAGAGGGAGAGAAAAGTTAAAGAGAGATAGGGGATGACTTTTTAAAGATTATTTCTTCTAGCAAAGAATTATTTCTTAATTGAGATCTAAATTGTTTTGTTTTATTTTATTCTCTGTATTGAATGTAAAGGCAGACATTCCAATATTTTTTTTCGTAAAACTCTTCATTACACATTTCCAGAAAGACTTTTATTTCCTGAATGTTTCTATTAATAGAGTTTATATTTAAAAGAACAAGGAAATTTTTTATATATGAATCAAAAAAATAAATAAAATTGGTTCCAATAAAAGCGTCATCTGTTACATGTTTGTTTGTTTAAAATACTAGGAAAAGGGTGGTTTACTTTCATATTAATTTAATAGAAGGAAATAGACAACATTCACTAACTAAATTATAAAGCATATATTTAAGTATGACATATCCCATGTAAAATATCCAGTCCGGTTTGTACAAATATGACTTAATTACTTATTGCATCATTGCTAAGAAAAAGTAACAAAATGCAGAGAAAAAAATCAAGTTGTTCAGATGTAATCAAGAAAAATTAGCTCTAAGTTTTCTTTTTTTATTCTTTCAAATTACTCATAATTAAACAACAGCCATTTAAATGTTTTAAACATTTATTAGGAGTAACATTGCTTTTCAAAAGATTTTTGGAATAAAGGGACATAAGACGAAAGAAGCACCCACAATTACTTACAGTATTCAGCGAGAGGTTATATGTATTCAACACCTTGATACACTGTACAATGATTCTGATAGATAAGTATTTTCTCATCATCGCTTCATAAACATTTTTCCATACATACAAAACGCTGCAATCGGTTTTCGCCTTATTTAATTGTGGAACTATTTTACATCAACGGGTAAGGTAAGAAAACACAACTAGGCTTTCATCACACTTAAAATTTTTAAAAGGGTTGTTTTGGAGAACTTGAATTAAAATAGACTTTTCAAATGCAGAATACAAGTTAGATTTTGTGATTCTGGATGGTACCTAACGCATTCTCTTTAAACAAGTACGTGAACGTTTGTCAAAGGCTTATTCTAACCCGACTCGTCGTTTCCTCAAGATTAAATTTGCAAACAAAGGAACTGATGTTGTGAACATAAGTAATATTCGTAATTATAAAAAAGTTCAGTCTTGCATTCCATCATACTTCAAGTTGGTCTTCACCCTTCCTTTCCTCATTGCGAGATTCCATATATTCTCAAAATGTCGCGTCCAAACATTTCAATAAGCGAACCCTTTATTACTTAGAAATTGAAGATCTCAAACAAAATCTCTATCATGGTATTGATCTTTTTTCGTCATTCTACCACAGTCCCGTTGGATGCGTCATTACTGGTGAATAGTTGAAAATAAAGACCTTAAAGAAATCGCTCCAACTTCGCCCATTTCTTAGCAGACATATTTTTGTATTCATATGAAGCAGAATTTGTGCAAAATGTTGTTCGCGAAAAGGAGAAAACACTTGCTGTGCATGGTCTTCAACTCATTTAGATATTGTTACGTATTGTCAATTAATAATGGTAATTTCCATTCTTATGTTGATATGATATGTATTATGGTGAGCATAGGCGTAGTCACAGGGGGGCAGCGGGGGCACTAGCCCCCCCCCCACTTTCAGATCGGGGGGGGGGGGGGGCAAGAGTATGTCTGTGCCCCCCCCCACTTTTTAATGATGAACACAATCACAGCTATTTTCCCCCAACTTTACCTTTACTATAGGAAATGTTCATTGAAGGGATAGTTGCCCCCCCCCCTCACTTTTTAGACCCTAGTATAGTTATATCAAAGAATTGTGGAAAAATTAGAATTGAAATTAACTTGCCTTTTAAAAAGTTGGCCACTACCCCCCCTCCCCACAACCCCCCCCCCCCCCCCCAACAAAATAGGTTTTCCGTTTTTGTAAAAAATTTTTATATCTTTTTTTTTTTTTTTTTTTTGCTTGTTAAAGAATTTCTGGAGTTGAGCCCCCCCCCCCCCCCCCCCCACTTTTAAGTTTGTTTGTGACTACGCCTCTGGTGAGCATAACATCAAGGATACCACAGCGTCTGACACATCTGTTTCATATTTGGATATTTTGCTTGAAAAAGACGTTAATGGTAATCTAACAAACAAGCTTTATGATAAACGTGATGACTTCCCTTTATACTTATGCAGCAAAATACCATAATCACCTGCATACGGAGTATACTGTAAACCAACTATTATTCGCGTGCGAGAAATTTTCGCGAGTTTCGCGACAGACTTATCATCGCGAACCAGTTCATAAAGTATCTGTGTCTATTAACCACAGGCTTGATTGCGAAAATTAATCATAATCATATTTCATATTTTAATTATCAATTTTAATTATTAATTAATTAATCATATTTCATATTTTATCTTCGCAAAATCGCGAAATAAAGTCGTCGCGAATAAAAGTTGGTTTACAGTATAAATCTCAGTTGATTCGATACGCAAGAGCATGCTCTACGTATGAACAATTTCTTAAACGAGGTAAATTATTGACAAGCAAGTTGATGAAACAAGAATATCAGCAGTCTCGTTTAAAGTAATTATTTCGTAAGTTCTATGGTCGATACAGTGACCTTGTCACTATATATACAATTTAACATTGAGTCAAATGCTGACTAACGTTTTCATACTTATTGATAGACCATTATTTAAACAGCCAATTGTCGACGGATTTTCCCGTTATTTCCCAATCATGACAAGGAGCACACAGCGGATGTGATCGTTTGCAGGGGGTGCTCACTCCACCATGGCACCTGATCCCACCTCTGATGTTTTGAAATCCATGTTCTACTCCAAGTTTTATTGTTTAATGGACTTTTGAGCTTGGATGATATTCGATTATCTCCATATATCTTATCCTTTGAGGCAGAATTTATTCAAAATCTTCTATAGTAGAAAAAAAAAACTAGTTGGGGCTTCCAACTCAATGAGTTCCAGTAAATGTTCAATTAAGCCTCTTTCTTTACTTCACTTCTTACTATGATATTAACAGTAGTGAAGGAGAAACTTCAAGTACTGTGCAACAATATATTGAAGAAGTGGTGTAAATCCGAAGACAATTTAGTGTAAATTGCCATGGTTTCATTATCAGAAAACCCAATTTTATATTTACTCTCATTTCAGTTATGAAATAAAAAGAAATACATTAATTTCTTAATTTTATTAATAATAATCTAATAATTTCAAATAATGGACCTACATCTACATATTTATATTACAGTGTTAAACACAATGTCACATTATTATGGACTGAATCTAAATATTTCTATTATAGTTTTATACACAATTTCACATTATTATGGACGTACATCTACACGTTCAATAAATTTCTCTGCAAACGTCTGCCAACCAGCTTTAAAAGAAAAATAATTATGTAAAGTGCATAAAAAATGACTCTAAAAACTCTTTCAAATACACTGTATATGCTACAAGATGGTTCAAGAATGACAGAAAAATGCTCAAGCATAACCTATATATAGGCATAAAATCTTAAGAAAAACACTTTCAAACTCAATATACAATATGTTTTAGGTTTATGTTTACAACGAAAGAAGGTATGAAGCTGATAAACATGATAAACATTGGATGAAACTTTACTACAGGTGTGTAGACATTCTGTTTTATTCAGATGACTATAGAGGTTTAGTTTCATAATAATATGAAGAATGTCACTATTTTTTATGATTTAGAAATCGTTATCTTAACGAAAGTGCAAAATAAATATATATTTTTTTTTAATGAAAAATATGAATTTCATTTAAAGTCTTTATCTAAAGAATATCATAATAAAAATACAAACATCATAAAAGTTGTGGAAAAAGTCTAAAAATTACACAGTAGTGAATGGTTAGAAATAACTTAATATATGTGATTTTGAAAAAAATCTCCACCCTTATCTAAAATGATCAAAAGAAAAATGGGTCTTTTTGACATGTCTATTTTAAAGTATAGAACCAATGGTAAACCTTCCTGCAGTCCAGGCATTCCTGATGTGAATCTTTTCATGTCTTCTCAAATGTGAACATTGTGTAAATTTTTGTCCGCATGTTTCACATTCATAAGGCTTTTCCCCACTATGAATCCGCTTGTGTGCCTTAAAGTAGGTACTACAATTGAACTCCTTCCCGCAAATTTCACAAAGATGACGTTTAATGCCAGTATGTGTTGACATATGCTCTACCAAAGGCGGCTTACGTGTGAACCTCATTCCACAAATCTCGCATTGGTAAGGCTGTTCGCCTGTGTGAATACGACTGTGTCTTTTAAGTAAACCCTTTGACCTGAATTTCTTCATGCACACCTCACACTCCACATTCTTCTCATCAGTGTGAATCATCTTATGCAAAACTAAAGTCTGTTTTGAAGCAAGAACTTTCCCACAAATTTCACAGGTAAAAAACTTCAAGCAGTTGTTGGATTTCTGATGCTGTTGAAGATGCATTTCGAATGTGAAAGTCTTGCCACAAGTTTCACAGCCATAAGGTCTGGTTTCGGAGTGATTCAGCATGTGCAGATGAAGCCCCATTTTTCGAGTGAATCCTTTTCCGCATATGTTACACGTGACTGGTTTGTAATCTTTGTGTTCTTTTAAATGTTCGTTTTGCTCGGCCAGAAGGGAGAATGACTCTCCGCAGACGGGACATTTGAAAGGTTTATCATCAGAATCAGGGTGATGCCTCTGAAAGTGGATCCGCAGGGTGGAGTTTTTAACATACTCCTTGGAACAGATATGACACTTGTACAGATAGGGCTGTTTTTCACCAGTATGAACCCTCAAGTGTTTCTTTAAAGTCTGCAATACGCTAAAAGCTTTATCACATAGTGAGCATATATAAGGCTTTGCTTTTGGGCCTTTTTCTTTTACAATATTACTTGTACCTGCTTTACTTTTGCTCTCTTTCTTTGGAGTTTGACTCTCAGTAGAGTTTGCAGTGCAGGGAATTTGTTTGCCTTCCTCAGAAGGACCACTCCCTGATGCTGCATTTAAATT